CAGAATTCAATTGTTGTACATCATATATTTAAGTTAGGTCAGAGCAATATAACAAGTGAACAGTGAATGACACTATACTGAAACAAATTAATGAAGCATGTGACTATATTAACAACACCATCAGCAGAAAACATCAGCAATAATATATGATAAATACTTGGAAAATGACTTATTTAAAATCGGAATATTTAAGAAAGCTCATCTCAATGAAAAGAAGGAGGAAGAAATGATGAAGAAGTTTTAAAAAAAAATTTTTCTTTTGAAATCAAAAAATTACAGCAGAAGAGCAAAGAGTTTTAATGATGATCAAGTTAAAAAAGAAAAGAAATTTTCAAAGAAAAAGAAATTCTTTTTGTTTCTCTGCATACAACCTCAGACAATCAAAGAATCTGCCAATTCTACCTCATTAAGAAATTGATAACAACGTATATACAAGTTATTGAGAGGACGCGATCGATACACTGCTATCAACAAACAGCATTTACAATATGGAAATGCAAACATCTACTAACAAGCAATCTATACAATCACTGAGTGCAGTTTTTCTAAAAAAGAGGGGCAATTATAATGCACTCATTTATTATTTCTTTATTATTATATTAGTTTTGTTTATATTTTATCTATTCTTATCTCTTTCTATTATACTCTTACTACTGATATTTCTATATATATATATAGATGAATGTATGTATTTCACACATCTTCTTTTTCTTTCTTTTCCTTTTTAGCAATTAGCTACAACTACACTACTACTATAATTATTATTACTATTATCTTTCACTACACTATATACTATCTTTTACTATTCACTTTTCACACTGTCATCACCCCTCACAATTTAACTGTTGCAATTAAGCATTGTGATCATCAGAGGTGGTGGAGAAGTCCCATTGATTTTTAAAAAATTTTGTATATATTGAAATCATCTTTTGTGTTTTAACTAATGTTGCATGTTTTGTTGTAGATGTGTGTAACAACAAATCATTTAGATAAAGTTTAGAGTGATTAGAATTGTAAGAGATGGGCTATAAAAGTAATTATGAGAGTAACACGAAGTACATACAAAAAATATTAAGAAGATAGCAATCTTTATTATTTAAAATTAATCTATGGCGTACGCCGTTCAATTGGTAGGATAATTCATGTCTGAGTTTCTCTAATCTAGAAGGGTGGGCGAACGCCCCTATATATATACGTAGTCATCCCGTCAGCGATCCAATCCAGAGGAAGGAGCGATCGCAGCATACGGGAAGAATAGGAGGAATAATAATGCAGGGGCGGAAGGAGCAGGGCGGAAGGGAGACCAGGAGCGGAACGCCACATAATCTGATCTTCTAAAATCCACAGATATCAGTGAGCATTATATAGATAATATTGCTATCACATTATATTCATATGATTGATTCTAATGTGTTCTGTACTCTTCTATTGCTACATAGTTATTTTCTAATATAGATACTTCTGTTACATCTATTACAATGATTTTATGCTACCCGAGTCTCTAACTCAGCAAGCTTCTCACTGGGTATAAGGTAAGGTCGGGGCTTATATAGTGTTGCTGAGCTTGTTCACTGAGTCAGGAGGTAGTGCCACTATCACAGGTTAAGATATAACGTCAAGAGGAATATCTAGGATGACTAGCGATAGCTACGGCGGCGGCCTAAGGTAAACAATAAGGATACCTAGTAGGGCTTACAAGGTAGGGCGGATACTTAAGGTATGCGTCGTGAAGAAGTATACTTAAGGTGAACTTATAGTCGTACTATGTAACTTGAGTATAAGTAAAGGTGTAGTAGGGCGAGTTAATAAGAAAAGTAAGATTGATCGTGATCAAGAAGATAAGCTCCTTGATCCTAAGGGTAATGAGTGTGTTTAAATACATTTGAGTCCTCATACAAAATATCCTGCTCGCTCTGCTCACTTGCTCACTTTGCTCACCGGTGATCATGGTGAGCACGGTGATCAGGGTGAGTAGTCACGTGACCTCATACTAGCGTCGGTTGTGGGTTGTTCCGTTCCTGCATTCCTTCGGTTCTTATCCAATAAGCCCCGGTCCGTGCCGCAGGTTTATAACATTTTAACATACACAAGATCTCTAGAAAATCAATTTGAATTCTCTGCCACTTTCAACAATCATAATATATGATTGCAATAATTAAACAATTAAATTTGTGAATAAAAACAACAACTAACTATTCTGCATGTGCAACAATGTTTTAATAACATGAAAACGCAGATTTGCAAAGATACTTTCATCGAAACTCAATCAATTCAAAATATTGCTACAGAATCACTGTAAAATGGATTCACAGATGATATGAATGATGATAATAAAACATCATCAAAATTGAAGATAAAGAATTACAATCAAAGAAAAAATATATTAAAATTTAAAAATTATAAAAATCGCATGCTGACTCTTTTTACACATCATTGTTGATATTATCAAAAAAAAGAACACAAGAGATGCAAATTAACAATCTGCAAAATCAATATCAATTAACAAGTTAAAAATTTCAGAATATTAAATAATAAGAATGGCAATCAATATATAACTTTTCTAAATATCTTAAAAACTGAGAATATTATTTATCTTCATACAGTGAAGAATAGAGAATGGATAATATGTGTAATAAAGTATTGAAGATGCTATATACAGAACTCAATTATCAAAATCAAAAACCTCATAATTATAAAAAGTTGTTTTAAACTTTACAAATTCTTGAAAAAAATATATCAAAGTGTAATAAACGTAACGAAAGTATCTATATTAGAAAATAGTTATGTGGCGATAGAAGGGCACAAAACACGTCAAAATCAATTATAATAAATATAATATGATGACAATATTATTTATATAATACTCACTGATATTCATGAATTTTAGAAGATCAGTAATTAACTTTGAACAATAGAGATTGCTATCTTCTTAATATTTTTTATATATACTTCACACTTCTCTTGTAATTACTTTTATAGCTCATCTCTTACAATTCTAATTACTTTAAACCTTATTTGAGTGGTTCATTGTTACACACATCTACAACAGCCCACAGCATGGGGGGGCGCTGCCCAGACGATCTGCAATGGACCTGGTAGCTGCTTTCACTCATGAGGTGGAGGCAGCCTTCGCACAAAACAAAGAAGTGTCCATGGTCACAATGGATGTGCAGGGTGCCTTTGATGCTGTGCTGCGCAGGCGGCTGCTTCAGCGGATGGCGCAGCAGGGGTGGCCACGCGAGCTGCTGCAGCTCATTGACAGTTTCCTCACTGAACGCAGAGCTCAGGTCCGGCTGGAGGGGACCACCACAGCAGCACATCAGATGCAATGTGGCACGCCACAGGGGTCTCCTTTGTCACCAATACTGTTCCTTCTGTACCTGGCAGAGCTGCTGTGGCAAAACTCGGAGTTGCGCTTTGGCTATGCGGATGATCTGAACATCTGGCGGGCGACCCACTCACTTGACAACAATGCCACCCTTCTCAGACAGGATATACAGAGTATTCTGAGGTGGGGGGAGATAAACAAGGTGGCTTTCGCACCAGAGAAACTTGAGATGATCCATCTTACAAGAAAGCGACACAATGAGGCACCAGCAGTAGTTGTGTCTGAGGACCTCACTGTTCACCCTGTTACTGCCCCAGCTGGACAGGAGCCAGCACTTCGCTGGCTGGGTGTACACTTCGACAGAAGGCTCACCTGGAGACCACATGTCTCCACCCGGGCAAAGAAGGCAAGGGCCGTGGCCCAGCACATCCGGAGTCTGGGAAAGACCAGAGACGGGCCCCCAGCAGACCTGCGTGGTTCCCTCACTGCTCTATGGCACAGAGGCCTGGTACGGCGGCCGCACGCAGCCAGCAAGGCACACGGGCAGGAGTGGGGAGGTTAGCTCCCGCCTGGGATGGCATGTGGGGACAGTTGAGAAGGTGCTTACTATGGCAGCCAGAGGGGTCCTCCCAGTTTTCCGTACAACGCCCATCGCTACCCTATACCGGGATGCTGGGCTCCCATCAGCAATGGTAGCTCTGGAGGAGGCCAAAATTCGATTCGCGACAAGGCTTCAGGTGGTGGATGAGAAGCACCCACTGGCTTCACGGATAGCACCTCCAATGATCACACGAGGAAGAGGGGCTGGAACCCGGCAGCGCTCAAAGACCAAGATCCAGCGGTTGGGGGCGCTGCTACCTGCAGTCAATAGACCCACACTTGCCATCCCACACTACTCAGAGGGATGCGGGACAGACCCCACAGAGGGTGTAGACAAAAAGAGTGCTGCTCAGGCATTCAAGGAATGGTGGAGAAGTCAACCCTCAACAGATCTATATGTTTTCTCAGATGGATCAGAACGGAACCTTGACAACAGCAGGCAGGTGGGCTATGGCTTCATAGTCTATCAGGGAAATAAACAGCTGGCCAGCTTCTCAGCTGCGCTGAGCCCTATGTCACATGTCTTCGACGCTGAGGCAGTTGGTGCCTGCCGGGCATTGGAGTGCGCCGTGAAGCTCCTACCTTGTGTCACAGAGGACAGCAGCAACCCTCAGATCTGGCTCTGCCTCGACAACACCTCAGTCATCTGGGGCATACGGGGCAGTGCAGCAGCCTCCTCAAACTGGGCCTACAACCGCTGCCATGAGCTCCTCAGACAGCACAATGTCGGCCTGAAATGGGCTCCTGGGCATATGGGGATAGAGGGCAATGAGGAAGCAGACCGCTTGGCTAAGCGGGCAGTCTCATCCACTGCAGCCCCAGCCTATGGTCTCGAGGCCACACCCACAGTCAGTGGGGTCCGCACAGTGGCCAAGCAGCTCAGCCAAGAGGCAAGGCGAAAGTGGTGGAGTGGAGCCTGTGGCAAGCTCTCTGACTGGTACCGGGGCTGGAGTTTCAGCAGGCCGACTGTGGAATACCAAGTGAAGGCCCCTCCGGAGCTCACCATGCCACGGCATGCCCTTCACCGCTGGCTCGCACTCCGCTCCTCTCATGGGGACTTCTCCTGGTACCACAGGCGTTTCCAGCATGCAGATGCGAGGCTCACCTGTGTCTGTGGACACAACAAGAGCCCAGAACATTTGGTGCTCTGTCGACACTCACAGAGGCACTTTCTTCACTGGCCCAAGAGGCCAGCAGCACGGCCACACAACCGGGCGACAGCTGTTGCCTATCTAGGGTCTCTGACCCCTACAGACTTTGTAGAACTGCTGGACTGCACGCAGTTCTACACACGGTACTGCACAAGGTAACGCAGCCGGCTGGCTGCAAACCATCTGACAACCCCCGCAGCAGTTCCACGAGGCCGGCCTGCTGAGTACACCCACGGTAGCTAGTGCAACTGCCAGGGACATCACAGTCTATGCAGACAGTACAGATAGCACAACTAGGCTCATCTGTCTCAATTAGCTGTGGTGTAATCAGTACAGTCTACGTGTCTGACTCAGCTGATATGGTTTTGACTGCCGAGCATTGTATCTACGCGTGCTCTGCTTTGTTTTCCTCTCGTTTGCCCTTGTCTCTATCGGCTCAAATGCTTCTTCTTCCTTCTTTTCTTTGCTCTCTCTGTCATTCTCTGCTCTTTTCCTGTCACAACCTTCTTCAGTGCTCTCTCCTTCATTATTTATCTTGTCTGTCTTTCTTCTGATGTTAGAAGCACAGACAGCTTTCTGATCAACTGAGAGAGGTATCCCTCTCTGCTCACTATAAAGCCTTCCAGGCACGGCAGCGGCGGTCCCCTCAGGGAACCACACTATAGCCCCACCATGAATGGCCATACGTCGGGCCAGAAGTGGATGCGCAGCTCAGAAAATCCTTTGCAATGAGCTGAGTCTTCTCAAGAGTTGCCACCTGGATTCTGTTTTCTCTCTCTGTGTACATAGAAATCTCTCCAGCGTAGCACGTCTCCATGCCCTTCGGGAGGCTTCTGAAACACGGGCGCTGCCCGTGTTTTCTCCGGGACGTTAAACCTATACATACATACATACATACATACAACAAAACATGCAATATTAGTTAAAATATATAAAATGATTTCAATATGCATAAGATCTCTTGAAAATCAATCTGAATCCTCTATCATTTTCAATAATCACAATGTCTGATTGCAATAATTAAATGATCAAATCTGTAAATGAGAGTAACAGTTAACTATTCTGCATATGCAACAACACTTCAATAAATTGAAAATACAAATTCATGAAGATATTTTTATCAAATTTCAATCAATTTAGAATATCACTGCAGAACTGCTGCAAAATCGATCTGAAGATGATATGAATGATGTTAATGAAATATCACTGAAATTGAAGATTAAGAATTACTATCAAGAAAAGAATATATTAAAATTTAAAAATTATAAAAATCACATATTGACTTTCTTTACACACCACTGTTGATATTATCAAAAAGAAGAACACAAGATAAACAACATCAAACTCTATCTTGATACTCATATTAAATAAAAGTGGTTGAATTTTATATCAGAATACAAGAAACACAGAAAAGCAACATTGTTAATATTCAACAATATACTATCATATCTAAAGATACAAATTAACAACCTGCAGAACTAGCATCAATTGACAAGTTAAAAATTTCAGAATGTTATATAATAGAAGTGGCAATTGATACATGACTTTTTTAAACATTTTAAAAATTGAGAGTATTACTTACTCTCATACAATGAAGAACAGAGAATGGATAATCTGTGTAGTAAAACATTGAAAACGATACACACTGAATTTGACTGTTGAAATCAAGAATCTCAGAACTACAAAGAGTTGCTTTAAATTCTACAAATTTTCAAAGAAAATATATTGAAATAACAGTGCATTATTTATAAAGACAGATCTATAATATTTATAGAGAATTAATATCATTTTGATAAATTTAACAATTATTGAAATAAAAGAAAACAAGAGAAACAGACAGATTCAACTGAACAAAGCAAAAAAAATAAATATAATTGAATGAAGAAATGCTCTCACTGTTATAAGAAGAGTTATATTGCAAATAATTGTTAAATGTTATATTTTAAAAAGTATAATCAAATCTGATAAATAAAAAATCAACAATTCCAATTGTAGAAGCAGCTGCTGCATTGAAAATACAGATAATTAAATTATGAGATAAACATTTATTAACAATGAACATCTGAATGTTGACAGAAGCAGTAACTGAGTCAAATATTTCAGAGGATTATAAAAATTATTTTAATATGTTTCAAAAAAATATATCTAATGCACAGCACACACTTCATGATCATGCTATAGATCTCAAATCTGATAAAAAATCATTATATCAATTGATATATAATTTATCATCTCAAGAACTATCTATTCTCTGAGAATATATTAAAGAAGTATTAGAGAAGAATTAAATATATCTGTTTAAGAATTCAGCTGATGCTTCAGTATTATTCACATTAAAGAAGAATGAAACTCTATATTTTTATGTAAATTATCAAGAATTAAATGAAATAACAGTCAAGAATCAATATCTGCTGCTTTTGATAAATGAAATACTTGATACATTAACAGATGTCAAAATATATATGCAACTGAATTTTAAAAATGTGTATTATAGAATTCACATACAAGCAGAGAATGAATGGGAAACAGCATTTTGAATACAATATGAGCATTTTGAATATTTGATCTTGTCTTTTAAATTAATTAATACCTTTATAACTTTTTAATTTTATATTAACAAAGCTCTTAGCAATTTTTTGAATGTATATTGTGTGGCTTATCTGAATGATATCATAATTTATTCAAACATGTTTGATAAAAACATCATCCATGTTAAGAACGTGCTGGAACAGTTAAGACAATGAAGATTATATATCAAATATAATAAATGTATATTTCATGCAATAAAAATCAAATTTTTGAATTTTGTAATTATTATACAGAGTATTACTGTTGAAAAATGCTGCATCAATACAATTCTAAATTAATTAGAATTGTGAACAATAAACAAACTGCAAACATTTCTAAAATTCATCAACTTCTATTGTCAATTCATATACAAGTTCTCAATAATAACAGCATCTCTGATTGAATTGTTAAAAGATTATAAAATAAAAAGAGAGAAGAACAATGCATCTGTTCAACTAAATGAAAACTGCAAACATATAATTTTGCAATTAAAAAAATGCTTTATAAAAATGCTGTGGTTAGTTCACTTTGATTCACACTAAAAACTTCATATAGAAATGAATGAATCTAATATCACAATCACTTCAATAATGTTATAATTAATGAATGATGATCACTGACATCTGATCACATTTTGATCTAGAAAACTTATAAAAGCAGAAAAACATTATCAAATATATGATTTAAAAATGTTATCAATTGTAGAAGCTTTCAAATAATGATGTCATTATTTATATAATAACAGACATTCAATAGTTGTTCTATCTGACTATGTCAATCTCCAGTGCTTCATGATAATGAAGCAGTTAAATAAATGTCAGATTCGCTGAATGGAAATACTTTCAACATTTAACTTTGAAATTAAACATCATTCTGAGAAAAATAATCCCATAGATACATCAAATCATTGCTCAGATTTTATAAAACACATAGCTTTCTTGATAGAGCTCTCTACTTTGTGAAAGCAGCTGTATAAGAAGATTTTTGAATCATTAAAGATAAAAAAAACATAAAGTTAAATCAATATGTCAAAATGATGTGAAAAGATCTGCAAGTTAAAGAAAATTATAAGGTGAAGAAATTTATAATCATTAATGACAACAATTTCTGCAGAATAAAAAACACATCTGTGAATAAAAATGAAATCATTAACATTATAAAGTTAAATCTAGAAACTCTGATGTCACAAATTCTAACTGTTAAAATATTTGAATCTGAAATAGTCTATTATAAAAAAATAACTGAATTTATTATTAAACTTTTATTGTAAATTCAGGACTTATTCTTCCCCCCCCTCACGGCCCACCGAACTCCTCCTCTAC